GAGTTACCATCCATCCAACTCCCAGTAGATTTTGTGGACCAGGAGGTGGTTTAATGAGTGGGAATGGGATTGATGATGCAGTCCAAATCAATGAACTAAGTAAATTAAGGAAAATTGTGCATTTATATCCTTTCTACATTCTCCAGTGCAAAGGAGACAACTGTAAAAATTCCCAGATTACAGTTTTTTTTTTCAAATTGCTAACAAACATCGGTCTATACTGAAGCCAGATTTTCAAAATTCTTCATACAATCTGCATCACCAACATGCATCTGGACCAAACCTCCAAAACTCACTCAAACCACTTCATACAACTCAAAATAAATTCATTCCACCTTAACACTGGCAACAATTCTCACTCAAAGTATACATTGTCACTCAACACACTAATCTAAAAAAGACTAACAATAATGTAAACTGAAGCTTTCATGTTACCTCCTCTTGTAAGAACACTAAACATTGTCAGTGGTGTAGTGGACTTGGCACTTCTTTGCCACAGCATCAGAGCTAATTGAATACATATTTTCTAAGAATGAATTCCGTGAACATTTGTATTTATATATTCTTGAATCAGAAGTGCTTAGATCAGTTTCCTCCTCTTTATGGATTTTCCAGCGTACAGTGTGACAGCATTACTTATATTTGTCTGAAGTTCAGTGAATAGTTGGACTCTTACAAGATGATATGATTTTCATATGTTTACAAAGGTATTGGCTATGTTGTTATTTTAATGTAATTTTAATGTTTTAATGTTCTTGATTGCTTTCAAGCATTTCTCAAATTACAATTAAAATTTGCAAAAAACAAGTGTAATCTCCACACCATAAGCAGAACATTTTTTCTTATTGCTTTGTGCAAATTTCCAAATGTTTTAGTACATGTATGCAAATGGTTTTGTACAATTGTCATCATTTGGCACATTTTTCAGTTGCTTTAGTCTTGTGGGCCAAAATAGACTATGTAGTTTCCCATTGTAATTTTATACCCAAAACATAGGTATGTGGTCATCATGTTAAATGCCACATGCAAAACAGTTAACCAAGCTTTCAAAGTGATTTAAAAATATATTCCATAAATCGCAGTGACACAGCAATGCTGTGATTTTGCTTCTCACACAGAACATGACTTTGTAGTCATTTTGATGTCCTTTTTGCTGCGTTTGTGTTATACAGCACTGTGTGCTGTATGCTTTCTTTGTTATTGTACTGTGTCTTGAGACCTGAAGAAGTTACATGTACATGCAAGTGCTTTCTCTTGCCAATGAAATTCACATGCTGTAATGTAGAGCTTTCCAATGTTGAAACTAGTGTCTTTGACATGAATAAGTATCATTTTACTACTGAAAACCAGTATGACAATGAGAAAGTGGAAACCGACTATCATTCAAAATTTTGTAGTTCAGGAGCATCCTTACACTGACATTTTCACAATACATCTAAGCATTATGATGCTAAAGGTTAAAACGATAATTAATGATTGTATTTTTCATTTTAGTGGCACTGACAAATTCAATGGTGGAATTGTTTGCTTTTGAGACAAGAATTAATTGCTTTCGGTAAGTTGTTTTGGAAATGCTCTTGTAGTCTTGAAAATGTTAAGCATGTTCCTTGAAAACCTATCATCATAACATAAATTCACATACAACAATACTAAGCACATACAGAATAAAATATTTATACATGAATTAGAAAATGAATTAAACATATATATATAATTTTACCAAAGCAAAATAACAAGAAAGGAAAACACATACAGGGACACTCGCGGTCCGTTACAAAGCATGTTCCTTGAAAACCTATCATCTGATATTTTAATGATATTGTTTATTGTGTGTGTGTGATATTGGTGTGTTAAACAGTATGATTACGTGAAAGGACCAGTAGTACTCTATACACATCTGTATACAAACAAAGTAGAATAAAATAACAAGAAACCATTAGTGCACTTCCAACATACCTGTTGTCAGGAATCTGGGCAGGTTTGGCACGAGGGCGTGGCATCCTGCAGGCGGGGGAACAGAAATGTGGACTACCCACAGGGGGTTATATAGGCTAAGTTCACACTGCTATGCTGAAGTGACTCAAATCGGATTTTTTGCCTTAATGTGACACAGATCTGATCTTTTCAGGGCTGTGTGGACACGCCAATCTGATCTTTTCAAATCGGATTTGTGCCACTTTCATATGTGGTACTAAATCGGATACGTATCTGATTCGCGGCCATGCGACCTGAATGTGAACGCTCAGATCGGAATTCATGTGGCTTTTTGCTTATACGCATGCGCTGACATCAGCCTGCACCGGCAGCGCAGGAAGGTAAAAATGGAGGAGAGCTGCGATAACAGTCAGTTGAAGGATGGAAAAGGTGGGGATTTAATTGATATTTGGAGAAATTAATCTGTTCAAGCTAAACTGGGAGGAACCTATCGTAATAGAGTAGTATTTGAAATCATTGCCAAAGAAATGGCACAGCGCGGACACGAACGTGGCTACAATGCCAAAGAAAAATAAAGAGCCTGAAGTCAAAGTTTAAAGAGGCAAAAGACTCGAATCAGCGCAGCGGTCATGGCCGCACAACGTGCCAATTTTACGATCAGGTTTTTACCCGTGTAAAAATGTTATCAGTGTGTGCATGCGTGACGTTTCGGAGGACCGATGCGTTCACATAACACACTTGTACTTATGAATGTGAACCGTCAAGATAGACAAATCCGATCTGAGCAAGAAATCGGAATTGAACGATGTGGCTGGCAGTGTGAACGTAGCCTAAGAGAACAGAAAACACAGGGAACTCCACAAAACAAAAAGGACCGCGAGGGGTCAAAACTGAAAATGGGAAAAACAAAGACTAACTACAAATGGGGAAGGGAAACAAGGGGTCGGTAGGCTGGTAAGTACGCAGGCAGGCTACAAATAACAGAACATTCAACGTCAGTAACATACATTAGCAACAAACATCAATGATGCCAAAAGAAATAGAACGGGATCAGGAACTTAAACACAACAGGCTAACAAGGATAATGCAGGACAGGTGAAAACAATTGACAAGGACTAGTAAAACAGGCAACAGGTGACACTAATAATTAACTCAAGGAACTAAACAGGAAAACAAAGAACTGACAAAGAAACAAGGAAAACAGAATCTAACACTGGGAGTTGACCGGTAAAACACAACAAAGGCACAAAGCAAGAAACCAAAACTGAATACAAATCACAGGACTAAACTGATAGAAATGAAACATTTGTATAGGAACAAAATACAAAAACAGAGAAGGCAATATTCAAACACAAGACAGGGGGGTTCACAGGCAGCCACACGCTCAACATGTTGAGCCATGCAGCAGATAGGAAGCTGGGGAAACACTAAAGACTTGGACAACAGGGGAAGACAGGAAAGACTGGGACAAACCAGGTGCAGACCCTGACACCTGTCTCTGTAACCAGTTGTGCACACAAACACTTTTCTAAAATGTGCTGCTTAAACACTGTTTAATAATGTGGCACTGACTTTAGACATGGTTTTTGTTGGTCGAAAGCACAATGCTGCCTTAAAATAGCAACACGCCAACAATGCATCTGGCCACACCTCATTTAAAAAACACTATGCCTACGAGTGGGAAACGGGCACAGAATCATTTACTATTTTGTTGACGTGGACACTTGATGGTATGAAGCTAGCAAAACCATGTTGCATTGTGCTTTCCGGCAGTGCAAAATAGGGCCCATAGAGTGATTTCCAGTACTAATTTCTCTTGTATATATAAGTTCTATGGCACATTTCCTGAGCATTAATGTTCAAGACCCTACATTACCTTTCATTTTCTTTGGCTAGACTTTTCATTATTTAACTGATTTATATTCTTGATTTATATCTTTCAGATACTGGAACATAAACTTAAACTCAGCTAAAATATACATTACATGGACAAAAGTATTTGGACACCTAGACATTACACTTACAGGAACTTTTTTGACATACCATTATAAATCCATGGGTATCAATATGGATATGGTTTGATCTTGGTTTATGTGTGTGTGTGTGCGCATGTGATTTGCGTATACAATGCATTACATTGTGGGGACCAATTTTCCCCACAGGGTGTTAAAAACATGTTATTTTGATGTTATGGGGACCAACTCTATGGATGACTTAAAAAAAAAATAAAAGCAGCATAAAGTTTAATAATGCATCTATTTGTTAAAATTTGATTTTTTTTTTTGGTAAATGCCCTACCTCAACAATAGTGTGTTGATTGTATTCTCCTTGCATAGATATATGGAGATTGTTATTTTTACACATAGGTACACTGGATTATTGGATTACATGCACACATACTAAAGCAATAACTAAAGTAACAAAGCAGTGTTGATAGATTACTGATTTTACAGTTAGTATCCTTGGTCTTGATGACCATATATCTCAGACAAAAAGTATTATTTTATGTCTTAATGCATAGTAAAACATTCATATTGCTTTCTATTTGTGTATGTCTGTGAGTTTATATTAATTCTAGGTATGTTCTTTAATTTCAGTATCGATATCAATTTTCGCAACTCATTCAACAATGGAATATTATTTTTATTCCTGATGGCTTTTCCATTAAAAAAATACCAAGGCCAGTACTTTCAGACCATACACATTTTGAATTTATTTGGCTATAGTTTGTATGCATGAAATTAAAAACAAGTCATGTATGCCAAATTCACACTGAAATTCCTGAGAAATGCACAACTTGACCTCAAATGTTCCTCCTTTAAAATACAATAGTATTAAAACAGCAGACAGTATTTGCTTAAAGATGACAGGAGGGGATATATGATTCATATGAATGGTTTACCATAAGCCAACCCACAACCTCTGGCCGCTTCATATATGTACGAGTTAGGAGTTCAGAGCAATTCTTTTAATTTTCTATCCCAAATATGGTTTAGGAATGTATGTGGTGACGTCACCCGGCTGGGAAACGGAGGACTGGGATGGACAGAGAGGGAGGGGGAGGTAACCGCAGTAATTACAACGCCTTCCCCGCTTTGTGGTGCTGCTTAGGAAAAGAAAGAATACGCCCTTTTCATATCAGAAGTTGGCGGATACCGCTATTTTAAAATCACACGGGAGCAACTCTGTCAAGCGTCTCTGCGCTATATTTTAGAACTTGCTAAAAGCATTAAGTAATAATCATTGATGTCGTTGTACGCCTTTTCATACATCGGAAAGAATACAGTGTAAAATTAAGGAGAATCCATGGATGATTTAGGTACGTACCATACGTTTTCTGACATGTAGTGTGAATCTTTGAATGCCAGTTTGAATTAACGGGATCTTAATGCCAATGAAACCGAAAAGGAAAAGGGGTGGAGTACCACTGCGATGAAAAAGTAAAAATCGGACTCCTTTGGAAAAAAAAAAGTTTGTTTCACCTTGTGTAGGCTAATTGAAGCATATCAAAGAAGTCGTTCTTGATTTAAAATGAACCCAAAGTGATTGAGAAATAAAATCCGACTTCTTTTTATGAAGCATGAGTGTCTTTATGTGGAGATAGGGGCACACTCCGTCTGGTACCTCGAATTTTCTAATGGAGGAAATGTTAGTCTTTCCTGACTTGCGGTCTTCATGTTCACATAACAATGCGGGAAAAACGTTTCAAAAGTCAAGCAGTTCACAGTTTGATACTTATTTTAGAGACATTACAGTCCCTGATGGTCTTCCAATGCCATTTCGGTTACACAGTTTTATGTTTATTAGAGGCTGGTATAACGGTCTTGTCAGGTTTCAGGTATGTATGTTGATGGTGTAATGTTTTGGATTTATTCATGAGAATGACATTTATTATACAAATAATACATATACAGTTTTGTTTTGGCAAGTTTTTTAGTCATTTGGTTCAACAAGCTTAAAATGTAAAGAAAAAAAGACACGCAACGTATGGTAAGCTTCAGGGCACCTACCCAACAACGTCAACGTTTAACACGTTTTAAAAAGAACGATATAAAGCATACATGTATATGTATGACAAACGATGGCAGTCTGTTTTCAATCCTAAATCGAAGGCCACCACCGAGTGCTCTCACACTGAGGCAGAGAAGGAGAGTTTGATTTCTTTCCATTTTGATGTTTGTATATGTGAGCAGAAGCGAGAAGATACGATGTGAATCAATTTCTGTTGTCCGATGAAGTGTAAACATTTCCGTATGCAATTTTGGTTGTGCTTCTGTTAGAGTATGAGGCCAAGTAAAACATTTTTGAGGCAACTCTAAATATGGTCAGAGATCCCTTAGAGAGTGTTTCAGCGCCTTATATGAGCAGCACGTTTCTGCTTCTCTGAGCTCGTGATTCTAAACCCATGAATCATGCAGATGCTCGTGGTGCAACATCTGTGCAAAGCTGCACAAGACAAACTATGCGTGTTACTCATGTTTGCGCACTAATATATTTTTGACGCTGAAGGTTAAATGCAGGAAAGCTCATGTTATTCGTGGTTTCATAAAACGTAATATACGAACAACCAAAATAAGCAAAACCTTAATAGCATTTATGTAAGAATACCTTTCTACAAATGTACAAACTACGACCAAGACATGAAAATGGCAATGGAACATTTCTGAACACTTCCTTATGGTTTCTGGGAAAGGTCTGTATCATCATGTGGTAAAGACAACTAGGGACATAAGAAACATGACAAGTGGTTACTATCAGCTGCCAACCAGTCCATCTTTCCTCCGCAGCTATACTGACCAGCCAAAATTGGCTGGAGAGAAGAGATAGAGTATAACTGTCAGACCATGGCCAGCCCTGGGTATTCAGGCGCTCTAGGCTCCAGAGCAGCATAAAACTAATTTTGTCAGTTCATTTATTTTAAATGCGTTTTAGTACCATAGGGCAGCTGCTGACTAGATAGGAGACGTCTCTTTCATAAGAAAAGCACTGAAATACTAAAACTACTGTAAATAACTGTAATGTCATGGATGCAACCAGAGGTATTTCTTCTGATTTTTTTCACTCGCTCTTTTGCGTCCCCTAACCAAATGGCGCCCTAGGCGATCATCTGTGTTGCTTGAATGGCAGGCCAGCCCTGTGTCAGACAATGCCTATATGTTGCTTAGAGATAATATTTGTTACCCCATAGACTGAAAAACATTTTTAACTTCTGCTTGAATCTGTGAATTTCACTGTAAGTGTAATTTGTGGTTTATTTATAAATCCTATGTTATTACTTAACAGAAAAGTATTCAGGCATTCAGGTATTCAGGCCTGTAATGATTTCACCTTGCACTGCAACTGGCCAGTCTGTTTCCCATTTTGTGTTTTTTAAAATTATTATAATTTTTTAAAGTAACATATTTCTCAGTGTCCTTTGCTCTACAATTGGCTGGCTGGCTGGCGGGCTCTCTTGCTCCAGGATTGGTCACTGTGTCTGTCTGTCTCGCCTGTCTCCCTATAGGAGTGCCTGACCTGCCTTACTCCCCTCTCAGTCCTCGTATTGTTGTGTTTGGTACGTAACTGTGCTTGTGAGAATTTCTGCCTCTCTCCGTCTGTGAGTATATAATAAATGTACAGCTATTCCTTGATCTGTCTCTATATAGTTTTCCTTTTTACAGCCATTGTATCTGACTGACTAGCTTGCTCTGGGTTTGACTGCTTTCCTATACAGAGTGCCTTTGCTGCCAAGCTTCTCGTAGTGACAATATGAGTAGACTGTAGTATATATACTTACGCTGGACTTCATACCCACTTACTTTCAGCATTCAGAGTCGGTGTTAATCCTCTGCATCTCCTTTGCCCTTCTCTTTCTGAAGATGCACTCCTTGCTGATTTGGAGAGCTCCACCTCTCCTCTGGCCAGGCGTCCTGTACTCCTCACATCCGACCCCCCTTCAGTGCCTGGTGACATTATTGATACTTCTATCCCAGCCTCCTCTGGCAGCCGGGACCCCATGCAGTCTCGACCACCACCCCCTGCCTATACTCCTCAACAGGTGAGCCAACCAGTACGGTACCATGAATAGGACATAGAATAGAATAGATTGGAATAGAATAGAATAGAATAGCCACTTTTATTGTCATTCAGAAATACACCGGTTAGTGCACAACAGAATGAAATCATTTCATTGCATTTTATGCTCACCATAGGCCTGGCAGAGTGTGTAATATAAATATATATATATAAATAGAATATAAGTGTAATGTAATACAAACACGTAATACAAACAGAGTGTTAAAAGGCTATGATCAGTCCAGTTTATAGGTCAGGTTTCCATCCTCCTATTGATGTCTTTCTCTCTCTTTAGACTGTATCTGCTGCAATGAAGTCCAATGCTTCCCCGAATACAGATACAGACAAACTCTATAGGTAAAACTAATATCTGTTTCTTCATGTCTTCACCTTAATTTGCAGTATAGCCATTCGCATTTTAGTTTAAGTGCTTAGCTGAAGGTCAGGGCTCTAAAGCAGGAATGACAGCCTCACTATTGCAAATCTATGTCTGTAATGGCTATGCAGTAATGGCTAGAGCTGCAATTCTGTCAGTACACTCAATAAGAAGCCATAGTGTAGTCCTTATGTGGGTGCAAGTTAATTAGCCAGGGTATATAGCACATTGGTGTAGATACTTCTGCCAGTTGATAGCTGCAGTTTTCTTCTGGTTTGGACTCAGCTTGTTTGTGAAGCTCCTGAAGTCTTTTCATGTTCTTTTAGCATTGAATACTGTTCAAGGACAGTACAGTATTGGAGCTCCCTCACGCTCCCTGTTACTCTTCCAGTACAGTGTGCAAGCCACGCTCCCCCCGCTCGCCAGACCCCCCGCCCACCTCCTCTTCAGTATTAGGGGGCGGCCTTAGTGAACTGGACCATTTACTCCAGGAACTCAATGCCACTCAGTTTAACATCACAGGTAAGTACCTGTAGTGACCATTATCTATGTAAGGAAGTCTATGTGAGAATGCTATGTTTTTTTTTAACAGTTCTGGATTATCAATGTCTTTATGTCACAGGTGTTGTAGGGAAATGAAACTAGCAAAGTTGGTAATCAACTATGCAGGGTTTGTAACTTGTGAAAATAAGGGTCATTACTGCAGCATGGGGATGGTGAAGGGATAGATTAAAGATATACACTTACATCTTAGACCTATATCTACTGCATCATCGAACTCCTTCCTTGAAAAAAAAAGTTTGTTTCACCTTGTGTAGGCTAATTGAAGCATATCAAAGAAGTTATCCTTGATTGATGGGGACTTAACTGGTATTAACTATCTGACAAAGAATACAGATGAACTGTGAACTAGGATATGGGATTCTAAGAACTAGGACTGAGCAGACAGACCCTATATCAACAACTGAAGCTAAAAGTTCAACTGGCAAGGCTGCATGAGTTACACTAGGTAGCCACCTCCATTTTCTCAGGAAAACCCAAAACAAAACTAAACCCCAACAAGTCTCTCTGCTCTCATTATATAGCACCCTAAACCCAGTACTTCTGAGTTGGGGCAAAGGCACAGAGATGCTAGCTTTGATTTGGTTGTAGTCATAACAGAATCAGTGTTTTGTTTCATGTTTGTTTTTATGAGACATTAAAAGCATCTCTAAATCTGTCTTGTTTTCTTCATGACAGATGAAATCCTTGCTCAATTCCCAAGCACTAAAAAACCTGAGGGAGAAAAGCTGAAGGAAATCCAGGATTCCAGAGGTCACAATGAGCTGGGCAAAGACAAGGCCGTGCCCTCTGCCTCCATTACTGGGTACTGCAGCTGCAATTAATGCTCCCTGTCTGCATATTTCTCATACCTTCCCGAAACTATACACTATACATGTGTGTATGAGTGTCTGTGGCTGAAGGTTTTATCATTGAGTGTGTTTATGAGTTGCCCTGAAAAACAAGTTCCAGAAGTCCAAAGTTATAATATCATTCATTTTATAGCCAATCTATAGGCACTATCACACCACTGGAACTTTTTTCTGGAACCAGAACCTTTTTCCAGAACCAGGGACTTTTGTCATCTTCACACCCAGTCGTGGTTCCTTAGAAGCAGTTCCAGAACCTTTTTTAGTACCTGCTTCAGACTCTGTTCATTCAAAAACTAACTGCTTGTGAGTCACTTGCAGTGATAGTTTGCTGATTGATTGACCACAAGTACCGGCACTAACTTGGAAGTTACGCCAAAGTGCAAAAAAAGAGATGTGGCAGAGCAAAAATTGAGCAGATGGAATTATTTTGTACTCCAATGCATTAATTAATGCATTAATTAATAATTTGCTTGCGTCTCCATATTTCTGCACTGGAAAATTCAATATACTAATTACATTTGTGTAATATTGCCAGTGCTGGTAGTGAAACTTGCCAGCACTTATTAGTGGGATAGCGTTAAATTGTTGTTATATTCTTTTGAAAACGAAAGATCGATCTGCTGGCCAAATTTAAAAAGGATCATGAACATGTTGTGGGTCAGATAACTAAAAATATGAATAAAAGGCTGTGTCCTGTTTTGATTGTGATCAATCCCCCCAATATTTAAATAACTAAAAAATCTACTTGTTTATCCTCCATTTTTTTTGCATGGCAGTGTAGTTTCTTATGAAATTACGTGTGAAGTTTAAACTAAGAACTTTTTGCATCTCCCATGTTTATATAGCATAAAGGTCCCGGTTTCTTTTGTCTGGTGTGAAAGCGTCACAAAGAAGTGGTCAGGTGCTACAACAGTTCCAGTTCAAGACAGCCCAGGTTCCAGAGCTTTAGTGTGAAAGCACCTATTACCACCTCGACATAATTCTGTAGTTCTTAAGCTTGGTCTGCTGTTTATCATTTTCCATTCCTTTCAGTGCTACTTTTCTGAGGTAATTTACTTCATTTAGAATAGACTGGCATCTCACTCAGGGTGTCCCCTATCTTGTGCCCTGAGCTTTTTGGAATATGCCCAAAACTCACTGAATAAGTGACTAAGGAAAATGGGATAGATGGATGGTTATCCTGCTGGGTTCATATACCTGAAATCCAAAGTCCCTCTCTGTACAGCCTGTTTTTGTGTGTGTGTGTTTATGTACCTTCTTGGCTCATTCGAGTCATGACCTAGTCTGTCCTTGACCCAATGGAAGCTTTGGATTACGGAGAATTGTGAAATCCGTTTAAGTGACAGAGGAAAATCGTCATTCAGTGAAGTGTTGTGGTGGCATAGTTGATGACAGTCGTAGTGCTGCTTCCCTTTTTACTCACTCATGTGACGTGTGCTTTGGGGATTCTGTCATGGTTGTGTATAATACCCTTGATCTAGCTGTGAGTCAGTGTGCTCTGTTCTTACACATTCCTCTGCAGTATACAGTTTGGTTTGCTCAGGTTCCCGGTCTGTGTTGGCGGTACGGTGATGTTCAGTGTGTCGGTGAGAGCCTTAACCATGAGCCCTTCCCTCTCTGTTCCAGACCAGTCAAGCCTTCAGCCACTTCGGCCACTTTAGAGCTGGACAAACTCATGGCCTCCTTATCTGACTTCAGAGTACAGAGCTCAGTAAGCGTCTGTCACACTCACTGCTCTTCAAGTTGTTTCTCTATATTAATTATTAGTGCTTTATTCACATGAACATGTTCATTTGTCTCTCTTCCCTTTCCTTGTTTCTGTCACATCCAGTGGTTTGTAATTGGACTCCCAATAACAAACTCCTTATCTCACCTTCTGCCTGCCCCAGTCTGTGTCTCCTATAGTGATGGGATACACAAAAGTTTTTCCATTGATAGCATTTTAGTTTGTGTCACCCCTACAGCCCTGACCATGGTAAATAGGTAGAAGATAGATGGATAGATAGATGGATGATTGTAGTGTATCACTGTTTTCCGTTACATTTTCACTGACATATATGAATGATGACAAAATGGTGACAATTTAATTAACCCAATGTCTAAAATTTCATGAAATATACAAAAAGGTTTATATTTAGGTTGGTGTAGGGACTGAATGTAGACATAGTGTGTTTAAAAACCAACACCTGCAAGGTCTGATCTAGGTCTGATGTAGGTTTATTTTCACACACTGAGCTTTTTGGCATTAGCTATCTCAAAATCAGCATCAATAATTAAGTATTACTATTCAAGATTACCTTGAGAAATTCCACAAACACCCTTTTCCTACCAGGCATAACTTCTATCACTAACAGCCTGTTTTTTTTTACCATGTAACTCATAGAGCAAACATTTAGATCATACAAAGAAACAGTAGGTCGAGTCTTCACTTTCTGAATGCTTGAATCATTGGATAATTTTTTTACAAGCACTCTGCACTGTTCTCTTGGTACTTGGTAATCCATCCATCCATCCATCCATCCATCCTCTAACCACTTATTGAGTATAATGATTAGTAGGGCTGAACGATTTGGGGAAAATATCTAATCGCGATTTTTCTGACAGATATTGCGATTACGATTTGATTTACAATATTTTTTATAATACAGGATTCAGTTCAATATTCAGTGTGCTATAGATATAAAACACAAGGAGCAGCATAAATCTACAAACATAAACGTAAATCTATCACAAACATAAATCTATCACAAAAGCTGTGATAGTGTTAACTTAAATAAAGTGATAATAAAAACAATTCCAGTAAAAAGAAAAACAAGAGAGATCTTGCCGCTAAGGCTGCTTGGACTCCTAATAACACTAGAACCTCCGTTTCCCACGTCAATGAACAGCAGTGAATCTAACACCCTTATCCAAAAATCCGTAATGTTCATAACTGCTCTGCTGCTCTGTCCTGAAATTGTAAAGCTGAAAACACAATATTTTTTATAAATTGTTGAATAAATATAAGTAGTTTATTGGTGATTTCATGTTAGTCATGTTAGTTCTGTTTTTTAACAGTTGTGTAAAGTACTGTTATTGTTTATGCAAATCAACTTAGGTGAAACAAAAAATTTTCAGGGTTGCAAACTCACACATCTGACGTGAAACTCACTTTAAGATTCTCATGTAAGAAATCTGACACTCGATTTCAGACTCTCATGCAAGAAATCTTCGACCAAATGTATAATATATAATTCCATTATAATCTAAAACTGGCTACATCAAAAGTGTTGGGGTAGTTTGCAAATCCCACAAAATATTTACAAGGTAATAAAACTCTTACATACTGTACATGTAAATTATTCTAATGTGATGGCCCATTAACAAAAACAAAAGTTATGCTGAAGTATGTCACTGCTGGTTCACTTCACTTAATTTACTTAAAAGCCACCAGCAGAATCAATATTTTTTGCATTGCAAATGTCATGTTTTCCTTAGCTTTCAAAGGTTTGCTGTTTGTGGGCGTATACACAATCGCAGGGCCACTTCTGATTGGTGCTCATTAATGGCACAAAAGGAGTACGGCACTTCAGATTAGTGAAGAATGAGTGTCACACAAGGAGGAGGACATGAATTTGTAAAACTACTATTACAACAGTTTTAAACCCTGTTTCAGGGTTGCTGTGTAATGTATATCCTAAATCGCAGTTTTTGCTAATCACACTGTTTCAAATCGCGACTTCGATTTGAAATCAATAAGCCGTTCAGCCCCAATGATTATGATATCTAAAAATATTAAATAAGTGTACCTCTTTAAACCACCTATAATACTTTGAAGGCTTTATTTGACTGCCAGAAGGGACTATTCTTGTTTAAGGTCTGCCACAATCAATCTCCCATCCTGTTTATCCACTGTTGAGGTCACCTTGACTGTGCTTCTATGTCCTCCATCTGTCCTGTGGTCACTTTTGTGTTTGTTTCCTCTTCTGTTTGTAACCTATTGTCACTTACTGAGACTGCCTTCTTTGGTGAATCTTACTTCAAACTCTTCCTGTCCCATCAGCCAGTGCCTCCCGCCAAGCAGCAGGTGGTGCCGACCCCACGACAGCAAGCCATCCCTGCACCTTCCTCCTCAGGCGGCTCACTGGACAGCATGCTGGGGCTCCTCCAGTCAGACCTGAGCAGACAGGGGGTGCCAACATCCTCCAAGGGAAACTGCTCTGCCTGTCAGAAGCCAGTGGTGGGACAGGTAGATGAGCAGATGTTCTGCTTCTCTGTAGGGGGAACTGGAAACATCTAATAGATAACTACATGGGAGATAACAGCTGTCAATCGGCTGAATTCAGGTCTGGTCACCAAGTTGCTAGGAGTAGTGCATATAGAGTAATGTGTATAAGCCCATGAATGTGAATGTTCAATGAATGTAACAGTCGCTGTTTGTAAGTTCTCCACCTGCATCCATTGACTTATCTGTTGAAGCTCAGTTGTAAAAAAACACAGAATTTATATGTCCAAAACCATCTATGCATGGAAAAGGTTGTGTCTGGAGGAGACAACCGGCTACAGCTTTTGCCAACTTTATGTGAAGGTCTTCTCAAAGTTGGCATTCACGGTTCTTACTGTAACGTTAATGGAATGTTATTTCCACGTTTGACATTTTAGTAAAAGTTCTGTCAGTGTCAACACAATAACATTATTACCCAAACATCCTTTTTAACTCAATTAATTGTTGAAAATTTTGTTTTATAAAATACTGTTTTTATAAAAGTGATCTATGTTTTTACTGTGAATGCCCCATCCAACCTTAATCGCAGGACCTTTGAGGTGTAAAGTGAGAGTGTTACCTGCTGCTCTAACATGCCTTTTATTTGCTTTTATATTATAGTAGTAATTGTAGTAGTGGGTTAATGTTCTGGGAACATCAGGAAAAGTGGACACTTTGAATATTTCCACATTTTAATGCTTAGTGGGCCATAGCTGCTGTGTCCTGATTTCTCCATCAGGTGGTGACCGCCCTGGGTCGGGTGTGGCACCCGGAGCACTTTGTGTGCATGGAGTGTGAAATGGAGCTTGGGAGCCGCAATTTCTTTGAGAAGGATGGCAGGCCATACTGTGAAGCTGACTACTTTTCGCTCTACTCCCCACACTGCGCGCACTGCAGCAAGCCCATACTGAATGTGAGACACTTTGTGATCACTAGTGGGGGTGCATGCCTTTAAAATAATAATTTCACATATATTTTTTCATGTGCAAAATTAATTTTCAAGGGTAGAAATACAGTTAATCTATTTTTTCTTGCTTCCTGTAGAAAATGGTCACTGCCCTGGACAAGAACTGGCATCCAGAGTGTTTCTGTTGTGTGAAGTGTGGGGGCACCTTTGGAGATGAAGGTAAGAGCAGATCCTATCATGGCTGTATTATAATGAGGTCACCGGACAGGGCCACCCTTCCTAAGAAGCACTTCTGGATGATGCGACGTAGGTCTAAGTTTATGTTCCCTGTCTCTCTCACATTTCTGCTATATTAACCTCCTCAGGTTTCCATGACCGGGATGGACAGCAGTACTGCCAGCAGTGCTTCCTGTCCTTGTTTGCTTCCCGTTGCCAAGGCTGCGCCCAGCCAATACTGGAGAACTACATCTCTGCCCTCAACTCCCTGTGGCACCCACAGTGTTTTGTGTGCCGGGTGAGTCTCTCTGTGTCTTTGTGTCTATATAGATGACTTCCTTTTTGTGTGTGTGTACATGTACATTTGCATGTGTTTTCCCAGAGGTGGGCAGTTCAAGTCCAGAAAGTAAAATCCAGACAAAGATTTTGTTTCAACCAGCCAGTTAAGTATAAAGAGTCACAGTCACAGAGTACACAACTGGCGGGTAAAAACAAAATCTTGGTCTGGATTTTTACTTTCTGGACCTGAACTATGTACTTTTGTATTTTCCTTAGTGTCTGTATGTACGTGTATATTTTTTTTGTGAGTGTGGTTGATCGTAGGGGTCAGCAAGTACAGGATTTCTATATCCATATCCGTTTAATCCACAGAATTATCTATGTCTGTATTTTGGAATGGGCAGGACTTAATGTTGGATGTGGCCGTGGTGTAATCCAGAAGTTTGAAATTTTGTGGATATTCCCATATGAAAAAATAATGTAAGAATACATATGACTCTTATTTGTTTTACATTGACAGTATGAGTTTAGTGTGTTGCACCAAGAATACATATACAATCCATACATATGAATGTGACCACCACATATGCTTGGACGTTATTACTATAATATGATATGCTGCGATATTTCAAGTGTTCCCAGCCTTTTGATGTTTGTGGAGCAGTCTACATTGGAGTTGGGGTGAGTTGGTGATTTCACACCAACTGCTTCCGATGTGAACAAAACGCATGAATGCGAGGGGTCGTAAAAAAAATGAAAATATAGTACTGTGCAAAAGTCTTAGCCAGTCATAGGAAATGTTTAAAACTATGTATCTGGGTGCTAAATGTATATTTGCGCAAAACAAAAAACCCAATTTAACATTAAAACACATGCAAATTAAGAGTAACACAACAAAAACTGACAAGAATTTCTTCTGTTCTCCAAAAAGTTACTGATATCTAGTTGGATGGCTAGATGAACACCCCTTCAGTTCCCAAACCACACCTCAGGGGCAGCCCAGCCATTCCATGTATTTGTTAAATTTCACAACCAATATACTTAATTAACTAAATTAGTGTTAACAAATCAGTGAGGTATCGACTAGCCAAAAAAAGTGTGGGTTTGGTTTGGGTTGTGGTCGAGTCAAAAAATGCATGGGTGTACTTGACAATCACCACAAATACTGGGTTGACTGTAGGAGAGGTTTTTAAATGGCTAAGCTGACATACTGTGACAGACATAATATCATAATTTTACACCAACATGAAGACGTTGAAGAACATGAAGATCATTTATGCATAATTTTCTTTGCCTGCCTAAGACTTTTGCACAGTACTGTGTGTAGTTAATTTTTGGAAATTAACCAGCCCCTCCACACAACCCTCAGTGTGTTCAGTGGGATACTGGCTACGCATCAGTAGCAGGGGTTGGGAACCCCTACTGTAGTGTTCCTCAACCCGGTCCTCGGGGACCCCTGAAAAGTCCATGTTCTTGCTCCCTCCCAGCTCCCAGATTGAGAAACACTGCCCACCATAATATAATGTCTGGATTGGTATGACGCTATGAAAAATGAGACACTGGCCAAGCTTACTTTAATCTCTTGTTTACGTTGCATAATGCACAATAGCTTCTCACTCATTCACCCTTGTTTGCATTTGAAATGCTAAATCTTGGTGATAGAAATGTTGGGGGGGGAGTGTGCTACAGTGTGCTTAAAATAACACTGCCCAGGCCTACGTCTAAGTGCAGCAAACCAGGATATGTCAATACACACGCAAAACAATATACAACAGAACAGAGATCACACATGTAATGCAGGTCAAACTAAAACGATCGCTCAGGGATGCCTGGAAGACTTTCTCCTTCTGATGCGCATGAGTGACTGGTGTCGGGCACAGACAATATAGTGCAGTTAATGATTATGTGGGAGAGACAGTACGTGTAGCAGGCCAATGAGCATCACTGCTTCCCTGAAATCCAGTGAGAACCTGGAAAGAAATGCTGAAAACAGACATGGATATTTATCAATAAGGATCAGATGATAATCAGCACTGGAAAACCCATTTGTAGCAGATACTCATTTCAGTCAGGTATTCAACTTTCCCCTAGGTGAGTGCGTTGTGTGTGCCTTTGTATGTATGCGTATGAGTCCTGTGTGTATTCAGTCTATCTGTACAGTATATGTTTCTGTGTTTCTATGTTCCTGTGTGTGTGGCTTTCTGTGTCTGTGTGTGTGGGCATGTATAACTTTGGTGTTAGATGTGCATTTATGTGTGTTTCTCTTATCGATGTACGGCCTCCCATGTCTGTCTGTGCATGTATGAGTCGCTCTGCGCTCTTACGGCTCCCCTCCAGGGCCAGCCGCCTGCTGGGGAACATTGATCTGGGCTGCAGCTTCTGCTACAGTGTATCCCCGCTTTCCTAATGTCAGCTCCCCTGGTAAAGCCCCCCGCTCTGACAGCGCTGCTCTCCGCAGGAGTGCTATACCCCTTTTGTGAATGGCAGCTTCTTCGAGCACGAGGGCCAGCCGCTATGCGAAGCACACTACCACCAGTCGCGGGGCAGCGTCTGCCAGGCCTGTCAGCAGCCCATTCTGGGTCGCTGCGTCACTGCCATGGGGGCCAAGTTCCACCCCCACCACCTGGTCTGCCACTTCTGCCTGAAGCCTCTCAGCAAGGGCTGCTTCAAGGAGCAGGAGAGTAAGCCCTACTGCCACCCCTGCTTCCTCAAGCTCTTCGGGTAGGAGGTCTGGGCTGCTGTGGATCGCCGCGAGGGGACAGCTGTGGGAGTGGGAGCCAGTGCAAAGAAAGAGCAGATGACCATGTGAGCGAGAGAAATTGGAGACCATCCAGGGCGATGCTGCTGATGTTTCTGTAAAAGGCTGCCTTTACATCGTACTCTTAGCCTGCAGCCCTAGCACTCACCTGGGACCAGCCTGACTGTTTGGCACCAGGCGGTTTAGGGTAGGCTTAGGGAAGGGTAAATACTCTTCGGGTAATTTTTATATTCAGTAAGAAATAGTGCTTCCTCTGCTTTTCTTTTGCATTGACTTCCACTGTATTTGAATGTGGCGCGAGGGCCCTAGACGATTGGTGTGGTTCAGACCAGCATTATAAGTTTCAGTATTAATAAGAAAATTAGTAAGATTCCTGTAATCTAGATGGAGATAAGTATATCTTTGCTACCTATTCTTATGAAATACTGTAAAGCAAGAAATATTTTTGAAATTGCAGCTAAATATGTTATTCATTTGCGCTTTTTAGTATGTCAGAATATCCAAAGTGCACTTATTTGTTGTGTAAGAAGCATGGATTTATGTTGTTTGCAATAAAAAATAAGTAGGCCTGCACACTTTTTACGTGAGGAACGTATATGAATTACATCCAAAACTATTTCATAGGATGCTGTCTTTTCATTCACATCATCCATGTCCTGTAAGGACTGTTGTAGTCATTCTTTTTTCTGTCATATAATGTTTTAGATTATTATAGGTACAGTAAATGAAGTTAACCATCAACTAAACATTTTTATGAACAAACCACATCAATAATGGACTTTGTTTAAAAGCTTTATGAACTTTTCTAGTAAAGGGGCATCTTCAGAACTCAGCATGGGACTCTGTCTTTAAAAAACGTTTTATTCACTTGTTTACTTATGTGATATTTGTTTACTGGTGAAATAATTAACTGGCTATGGAAACCTAAACAAATTCATACTAGCTACCTGTTATTTATTTAATATAATAAGAATGTTTATGATATGTTTTTGCGTCTTTTTCCATTTGAATGGGTTCACATTTTTAAAGTAAAGATAAAGTTAAAATGTGTGTGTTCTTTCATTTCAAAGCTTTAAACCCTTTATGTCTGTAGACAAACTTATACTCATGGTCTAAAGGACACCAGTCTGCATGGTGCTAAATTAGTAGAGATAAATGAGCCTATATGCCAAGCACATCATTACTCTGTTGCAGCTAAAGGGGCTAGAACAGAAACACATTAGAAACATGTGAAACGTGCAGCACAGGCAGAGGGAATGGTGTGAGAGGAGGATGCCGAATGTGACAATCACAAAACCTCAAAGTGCTACTTTGCCTTTGTGGTCAATCACTTCCAGCAGTAGATTTAGCGACAGTTACAGTCGTCTTTATTTTAAGCCATATTCTTTCAACATTTATTGTTTTACATTATGCTATATCACCATGCATTTTTTGATTATGCGTTTTTAAGGAACTGGCAGCTTAGGCAGACTGATATGTTTCCTGCTGCAGTAATTTTCCAGACTCCCTGTTTCCTGATATATCGCCATCTTGATGCAGTGCCAAAGACATTTTCAGGAAATATCCCATGTGGTTAGTGAAACATTGCTGTATATTATGTGTTTTTTATTTAAGATGTGAAATTTTACTTAAAATATATTGGACATGTTGTGATGCAGTTCATGATGTGGTGTACCAATGATGATAAATTTGTGTTAAAAGCCATATTTAAAGTCATACTGTTATTGATAATCAAAGATTTGTCAGTGATGATTTTATTACCCCTGAGTTATATGGTTTATATGATATGATACTGATAGTCTGTACGTGATGGCCAAAGATGATAAAATAAACAATTTTCTCTGCCATCATGCCTTGATCAGTACTTTTTTTCTGCGAAAGTCAAAGGATACATTATTGTTTGCAATTGAGGAAAAATCAATGCTTAGTATGTTTGAAAGCTGATGTCTAAAAATACTCGATGTACCAAAAATCCACACATGAAATATAAAGAAAACAGATGATGTCCATGCCACCGCAGCTATAGTTTCATTTTTATTAATCTAAACAATCTAAACGGAAATGCTGATCATGAAATTCACAATATATACACATACCTGTTACATAGAATTTATTTGGGACATATATACTTCTTTCGTCCACCCATCCAACCATTTTCTGAAACCGCTTGTCATTCAGGGTTGCAGGGTGTCTGGAGCCTATCCTAGGTGCAAGGCAGGGAACAACCCAGGACGGGGCGCCAACCCATTACTGGGCACAGACACACCAATCATTCACACAGGCACACCTATGGGCACGTTAGCAACTCCAGTTAGCCTAGCATGTTTTTGGACTGTGGGTGGAAACTGGAATACCTGGAGGAAACCCCAAGATGACATGGGGAAAACATGCAAACTCCACACACATGGAGCCACGGAGAAGATTCAAACCCTGGTCCTAGAGGGGTGAAGCAACAGTGCTATCCACTGTGGCACCGTGCTGCTCTGTATACTGTAGCCCTCTTATAAAAGGAAAATATAGAATATAGCATTTATCAATCAGACAGCTGTATGAAGTAGATCAGTAATAAAACAGCTTTTTTGTGGTGGTTTCCACTCAAAAGAACACCATAATGGAGTTTAAGGTCTTAGTGAAGTGTGGCAGTATGTTGTTGGAATTTGAATGTATAATAAGTGTTTCTGCAGCTGGTGCACTGGGAGACTGGCACTATGATTTTGGGTTTGTTGTGGTAGCCCTTTTCAGCCCCACTTCCTGTTTCCTGAGTCCTGGTTCCTGTTTCTGCTTTTCCAGCCCACTGCAGTGTGTTGTACAAAGGTCTCAGTGGGTGGTGGGCAGAAGACCTGGCATTATGGATGGATGGCACAGTTTGGGGTACCCTGTCTGTGAAAGCCAATAAATGTATTTCAAATTGTGGCGTTTTCTTTGTGTTAATATATAGTAAAAGAGTGTGTAGCTATTAAAATTCCTCCATACATCCATCCATCCACCCATCCATCCATGTTGAACTTGTAGACTATCGCAGGAATCAGAGGGCATGAGGGAAGCCATCTCAGCACTCAAAATCATACACATACTGGATTATACACAACTCAAACATGAGGAGAATGCAAAGCTTATCTTTTAAAATGTTACCCTTATAGCACAGTGCTCTGTTGATGGAGCACAGTGACTGTGCAGATAGAGGGAGATGCTGTTTTACTATTCACAGATCCTCCACAGAATCCCCAATGTAGTGTCAATGTCCCTCAGTCAGACAGCAGTCAGACAGTGTGTCAGTGAGTTCGGCAAGATGTTTGCTTAAGGTTTGCTGCAGTGTGGCAGTAAAATACACATACTCTCAGCGGTACAAGGAAGCACTGTGCTCAGGGCAGTGAGAGGGGAACAGACCAGTGTGTGATCGCTGGGGTTATGGGATAGGCTACTGGTGTCATTCATGTCCACAGTGGGGAGCGAGACAAAGACATGATGGTTGCTATCTCGCACTTCATTCTGTACCTGATATAACTCACAATTATCTCCCATATAAGCTCACCTGATACCTTTCTAAATTATTATGATTATTCTATGTTCCTACTATGCTGAGAGTTATGCTTTCAGAAGGACTGACAGCTATGTTGCCTTGTTGGTAGGGACTGAATTTCAGTCATAACATTTTATATGCATCTTCATTTAGGCATTCGTTATGAAAGACTGCTCTCATACGTGGAAACAAGTGACAGATCAAAGCTGAACTTATGGGGGTGTGATAAGTGAATGGATTTTATAAATTACTAAACATGCTTAATGCAATTATGCAGGTGCCCTCATAGGTGTGAAAACAACAAAAGATTTAAGGAAAAATTGAGACACATATATCAGTCTATCTTCCAGTTACTTTTATTGGTAACAGTCACAGAGGGTAAGGGGGCTAGATAGAGCCAATCAATCCCAGGCAGAAAAGGTCACAAAGCAAGAGGCACACTCTAGATGGGCTGCCAGTCCATCGCAGGGCACATAGTACAGATATACACATGGGTGGTGCTATCAGAACTATCACCGAACCCTGGATTGACCTCTGCCCAGTTGTGGTTGCTATGGAGACCATTCTTATTGAAAAACACACATTTCCTTAGTATGTCACATTACTGAGGTAGTTACATATTTGCATCTTAGTTATAATTTCATTCCCACACGACACAATCTTCGCAGACCAGAGCAATTTTTTTTTACTTACTTTTAGTGGATTTGAAGATAAAATTAAGAAGTTCAATATAGTACAGGTCAAAAACAACAACTCCATTGCTAGCAGGCCAACTAGGTGTTCAACCCCTCCTGGTCATGGCAATGTTATCCATCCATTGTCCATGACTGCTTAACAAGTCCAGGGCGAATGGCACGTGAGTACAAGGCCTTGTTGAGTGAGTACAAGGCCATGGTGAGTGACTACAGGACCATGTTTAACATGTAAAGGAGGGAATTAAACCTGCCACCCTGGCATGTAGCTGTGCCCCCGAGCCTTGCATGCCATGTGTAAGTGAGGTTCGGCCTACTTCACATTGGACTGTTCCCAATGTGGTAGCATGTTAGATGCATACACACATATCTTCTGTTTAGTTTATCCTTAAATACCAAAGGATATATTTAAAGAAGTACTGAGCAGCATTGTAAAGCTCTTCTCTGAATACCACATACACAAAGTCAGGGGCACTGCTAGAGACTTTGGGCCCCATGAAAGCATATAATATTTGGCCCCCAGCCCAGACCAATCCAATTATGTGCCAAAATTTCTATCACCAGAAGCATCCTGCTTAGCCCCCAACCCACCTTTACAGTGGCTCTACATAAAGGATTTTAATTTTACTGCCTATTCAGTGCATACTTTGGCTTTACAGTTTTGAGCTGTTTTGTGTTCTTTAAAGAAAACAGTAACAGTCCAAAAGTTCAACATTTCTTGATTTTAGTTTCATTCCATAAAAAATCAAATTATGGGACCTCATTTACATTTCATGGCTTACCCATTACCCTATTGGAAGCCTTCTGTAAACTATATGTCCTCAACTTTATGATATTTCTATTTCAGCTATGTTTATCACACAAAAACCTCCAGGATGTAATGGAAAAATAATAATGCCAATAATGAAATGGATTTTGATGTCATTTCTGCATAAATTTACTGTAATGAACCACATATTAATGCGTTCATTCACTATAATTATATGTACAATATACAGTATCAGCTCATAGGTTGCATGTGGGGAATTCACCCATGTCGCTGGCTTTTTGCTATTCCTTGACCAGACAGCAGAGGGCGAAAATTAACTAGAAAACTAACTTGACAGCTGAACAGATGCTGCCGTACTGCTCCGAAGTCAAAGAAACACACACAGTGAAGGCAAAAGGACGGCATTACTTACATTACAGTGAAAATAAACCGCGCCTAGACAGATTAGCCACATGTTCTGCTACAGACAGATTTAACTCACGGAAGACACATATGCTATACATCTGCACTTTATGTTATGTAATTGTTTACATACTGTAGTCTCTTTATAATGTATTTCTTTGTTAACCTACAAATACATACAAATACGATTTTTTAAACCATTGAAATCATGAGCTGAGATCATGTACATTCAAACCCACTGCACAGCCCTAGTGGAAAGTCGCAATATGAATAGCATTTTAATTTATTTGTCGTGCTTATTTGTTCTGTATAGCCATTATTATATAGTCGTCTCAGACAAATGCTATTTTGTTTAATTGTATTCCTGCACATCTTGAAATGACAATACAATTTGACTAGACTGAAACCCGATGGTTTCTCTTGTAGTGACTGTCATAGCAGTAAATAGCTGCCCACTCCTCTTTCCCAGAATCATTACAGCAGAGCCTTGGAGTGTCACGGGCTCCAAGAACCTGTCTTGGATCAATGCTCCTCAAGCCTGCCAAGGATGGCAGTGTTTGTATCTGTCAATCCATCAATCCATCATCAGGAGTCTACGAATGTCCACAAGGATCAGCAGGAAGAAGGAGAAGGAAGCAGAGTCGAGAAAGAGGAGGACGAGCAAGATGAAGAGGCCAATGGAGGAAGAAGAGCTACAAGAATTTACAAGAAAAAAGTAGTATTTTATTGAGTTCTACTTTGCTGTTCAACATTGATTAAATGTTAAACAAGGCAAAACCAAATCAACGCTGCAGTGTGTATTCGTTACTACTGTACTTAATTCTCCCTCAGCACACACTTGAGAAGCACATTGCAAAGGTCCCCCTGCTGTCTGTGAAAAGCCTCCACTGTGTCCAGCAGTAGTCTGGGCTGATGTGCTGTTCTCATAGCCCCCAGTCAATGGAAAGTTCCAGTAACTGCAGGAACACTTTGACAGTCTTGCTCCAAACTCTTGTTCCTCACGTATTTCTGTGCCGTCATTAGCAATGATTCTCCACTGTATGTGTAGCAAAGCTAATTACACCCCCACCCCCACAGTCTCCATTAACATTACTGACAGACAGATTAAGCTTTTATCATTTTTAAATCTGAAGGCTGAAGGAATGTATTAAGGATCCAATATGTATAGTTTCCACAGACATGGTTATCCACACAATCACATACACAAAGAAAACATAACTCAACACAATGTTACCTCAACATTATACTCTGAAAAACCACAGACATAACATGGGACTTCATGCTTTTGTTCAATAAATATACCCTTCCAGCAAGTGAAGCAATATTTCTCTTCGCTTTCAACAAAGCTCTTTAGGGCAAACACTGTATGTGATGGACAGACGTTAATCAACATTAAAATGTGTCCATAACAGAAATAAACCACCATTTCGCAAATCACATGCAAAAATCATTCAAAAGTGGCTC